TTCGCAAGTAACTGATAGAATGATCTTCTGTTCGCCCGCTAACGGTCCATTCTATCTAAGTGCAAAACAACATAACATAGACTGTTAAATTAAACATGATTCTCATTCAAACGGGTTCAATGTAAATACATCTAAAGCCAAGCTTTCAGTATAAACGCCAACACATGTAACCAGTTAGGGCTGGTTTCCTCCACCTCCAAAGCATTTGTGTTTACAGATTTTTTTCAATTTCTTCCTACCCGATTCCTCAAAAACATTTTCAAGTTCTTTTCTAACAAAGAAACAGATCTTTTCCTAGAACTGCCATCTTTAACCCCCTTACATTTTTCTAAGTCTAGCCATGAGTCTACACACATTACATCACAATTCACCAGCTTCCCACCCCTTGGCTTTCCAACAAAAGAAGTTTTCTTCCTAAGAGCAGTTATTCCTCCAATAGAGGAAGGAGAAATGCCAACCTCCACAAGGTGAACATTGTTGAGCTCTTGGTTAACATCCTGGTGCACAATATCAGTGTGAACCATTTGATAAAAAGCTACTAACTCTTTAGTCCCACTCTCACTCTCTCCCCTAACTTCTCCCCCACTGATTAAGTTAGCATTGATGCTACCAAGGATATTACCCCCACTATCTTGTTCCTTTCCACTAACACCTTGAGTTGCTAGATGGGGAATATGGGAAGGAGAAGGAGTCTGTTCATTAGAATGACTCCCAAACTGATTATTACTAGGACTCCTGAAGTCTCCAAACCTAAAACTGCCTGCTTTTAACCAATCTCCATGTTAACCCAAGCTAATCGAGTTTCTTTTAACACTTATTGTTTAGTCAGACAGTTTTTATCAGAATGACTAACTAAACCAATCTCTATATTGACCCAAGCCAATCTCTATATTTCTTAAATGGAGCCTTGTCTGTAACTGTTGTATTGTGTTTAATAATTTTTTTTTTTGGGACTTTCTTTATTTATATTGTAATGTTTGCTCAATCAATTTGTTTTCTAGAGCTATTTTTTTTATGGCGCACTCAATCAATCTATTTTCTAGAATTCGTTTTGGTGGGACTAAGATCCGTAACAATAACTCGAGACTAGTATATGTTACCATGAGTTGAAACAAGATACTGTTAAGCTAATTTTGGTAGTTAAATATTTGATTTGATCTTGATCTTGATTTGATCTTGATTTGTTTTTTTTTTTTT